GTTAATTGTTCATATTGATCAATAGTACATTTACTATCAGTATAAATTCTAATATTTGCATTTGGAGGAGAGACTAACAGTACTGCTACCACTGCTGTTAGTTCAGATCTTGCTGCTGAGGGCCAAGACCTTAAACTTGCAGTGAATTGTAATTGTGGTGCTACTTTGTGAATAAATAATAACGTGATCGATGCTCCGAACGAACATGCTGTATATATAATAATAAATGAATCGCGTGTTTTTATCATGAATTAGATTATTTTGTATAACGATAAATGATTTCGTGGCTTGAATGTGCTCACGTAACGTACGCATTCGTAAACTTGAATTTTATCTTGATTACTTGTAGATGGGACAGGGACGTCGTGGCTGAATGTAGAATGTAGAGTTCCATGTGCCGAAATGACCTGAGAGGAATGTCTCTACGTTGCTGTTACGAAAACAATCTTGGTACGGCTGTCTTATTTATATGTTTCGAATTTAATAAAATAGACTATTGTCTTGGCCCGAATAATGTCATTTTTTTTTTGCTCTTTGCGACGAAGAAGACACAATTCAAACCCAACTTTGATGTTAAAATAAATGAATTTTTGATCTCGTGTAGCACGGCGTGCGTGTAAAAAGCAAAAGCTCTCAGTTGTAAACTTATTATTATTTATTATTATAAACCGCAACTACTTTATTGTCCGTAGTTACACAATAATTTATAAATTAAAATAATAATAGAGAAAGACGTTTTTTAAACAATAAAAAAATCTTTAAACTATTTAACAACATGAATAAATTTAAAGAACCATTAAAAGTTTTTTCTTTACCGGAAGAAATGTTACAAGACATTACTTTTAAAAATACTTCAATTAACCTAAAATCAGAAAAAATTTTCCATGATAACTGCGATATTAATAAAGAAGTTCAAGAGCAATTAAGCAACACCAGCATTACCACCATCAACACCGCTACCACAAAATCATTTTCATGTTTAGTATGTGGCATTACGGATTTTGAGGACGGTGAACAACAACGAACCCATTTCAAATTGGATTGGCATCGTTATAATGTTAAACGTCATGTTAAATATTTAGAAGCTGGTAAATTTAAAAATTATCAACCAATAAGTGAGCAGAACTTTGAAGAAATTATGAATGGTTAGTTAGAAGATCGATTATTTTATAATAGTAAAAATGCAATGCGGTAATGGAAATTTGATTTTGGTATTTTTTAGACAGTATGTCAAGTATTTCAGGATCTGATACAGAATTGGAAGATGAAGAGGAAATAGATGAAGACAATGGTGCGATAACTCTTGTTGACAATGAATTAAAAAGAATGGAAAAAGAAGAAGAAAAAGAAGAACTTCGGTTAAAGAAATCCGATAATAATAATAAGAATAATTCATTAATTTTGTTTAGTTGTCCAAATTCATCGCCTAAACCAATCTGCTTTGGTATTTATAAAAATATTCTTCAGAATCGAGGTAAAACTCTTGAATTGATTAAAAATGACTTGTTAAAATTACAATTAAAAAAAAAAAATCAAAAACAACAAAAACAGAAACCACAAAAGCAACAATCACAACATAAAGAACCAAGATATTGGACAATGATTATGTTGATGGGCGGACATTTTGCAGGATCAATTTTAGATATCAATAGTATTCATAATACAAATTTTTCAAAATCAATAAAAGTTCATAAAACCTTTCATCGTTATACAAGTAAATAATATATATATATATATATTTTTAAAAAAATATATTTCAATTATTAAAATTAAATTATTATTTTATTATTCAATTTAATTAATAAAGCACGTAGAAAGCAAGGAGGAAGTCAATCAAGCAATGATAATTCAAAAGGAAAAGCAAAATCAGCAGGAGCAGATTTAAGAAGATATAATGAAATGGCATTATCTAAAGAGATAAGAGAATTGATCGAGGAATGGAGATTGATGATTGATCAGAGTGAATTGATATTTATGCATGCACCCGGAAGAAATAAAAAAATAATTTATGGATATGAAAATGCGGTTTTAAAAAAAGATGATCCACGTATTTCCACGTTTCCGTTTTCTACAAGACGACCGGTTCGTACAATATTTTTATAAGATGTTGCTGAATATATTTATGTGTGTGTATATATATATATGACTTTAAAAATTTTTTTTAAAAAAAAATAATATAGACATTCAAGGAATTGGAAAGAAGTTTTAATGAATTGATTACTGTAAAAATATTTGAACTGTCATTAACAACAGAAGAAGGTGATGAAGATGATAAAAATAAAGAGGAAGATTTATTAAAAGATAAATCATCACAAGAACGGAAAGAGGACTTTGTGGAAGTTCAAAGACAAGAAGAAACGCAAGAAATACAAGATGAAGATGAAAATATTAAAATAATTCAGATTATAAAGAAAGGAAAACTAAATCAATTAATTAATCATCTATCAAAAACATCTAATCATAATATTCTTCTAGAACAATTTCCTATCAATAATAATAACATTATTGATACTAATAAAACACCTACATTACTTCATTTAGCATCATCGTTGGGACATTATGATATTGTGGAGTATTTATTGAAACAAGGAGCAAACCCGACACAAACATCCAAAATCAAAAATATGACAGCATATGAAATAGCAAAAGACAAAGAGACAAGGAATGTTTTCCGTAGATTTATGGCTGATGAACCTGATAAATATGATTGGAAATTAGCACGAGTTCCGAGTCCATTAACAAAAGAAATGGAAGGTGAACAACGTAAAAAAACGAAGGGAAAAAAGAAAAAGAAAAAGCCTTTAAAGAGTGATGGTGGCGGTGATGGTGGTGGCGGTGATGGCGGTGGTGACAATAATCATGATAGCCTTGATAATGATTCATCAACAATAATATCTAGTAAGAAATCGGATAAAGGTTATAAAGTTGGTACTAAAGCTACTACTACTGAATCGTCATCGTCTGAAGTATATTTAATTGGATTAACACCTGAAGAACGTTTAAATATCGAAAGAGAGAAAAGGGCAAGAGCAGCTGAAGAAAGATTATTAAAATTATCAAATAGAGGAGTTACAACTAACATTAATAATAATAATATTTGTAAAATGTGCAGAAAATCTTTGTCAGGATTAATTCCATTTGATAAATTTAATTTAAAATTTTGTAGTACTCAATGTGTCAGGGATTTTAATAAATAGATCTCTTAAATTATGATTATTAAATTATTAAATTATTGATTTTGGATTATTTATTTTAATATTTTAATACTATTAATATTAATTTTTTTAAAAAAAATCAACTTTTGAGAAAATCTGTTACGATATTTGCAAACTCCAAAGGTTTCTCAGCATGAACTAAATTATCATTAAAAAAATATTATTTTAAAAAATTATTAATTAAAACTTGTGAATTTTCATCAACTAATTATTAATTTTTACCCCAATGGCCAGCATCTACTTCAGCAATTATTGAATTAGGAAAAAAAGTTTCAATAGTTGGATAAATCTTTATTATAACAATAAAAACAATATTAGATATAGATCACATTAATAATGATAAATATAATCTTTAATATTTACTTTTAATGGTATATAATTGGAATTTTTTCCTCGAATGAATAATGATTTTTTATGAAAAGTGTGATGAGCATGATTAAATGGAAAATCTCCTAATGTTACCAAAGAATCATCCAAAATATCTAAAGGAATACGAAATTTATATAATCCGGTATCTGGATCTTTTTTCAAATTGGTTAATAAGAAATTCCTAATAGATGGATTCTAAAGAAATTATTATTATTAATTATTATTTTAATAATTTAACATTTTTTATTTGATAAAAAGAATTAAATTGATAATTACGGAAATGTAGTCTTGCATGATTTCATCAGCTTTACTTTGTTTAATCACACCAACGTTTTCAACTTTTTTCATAGTATCGATATAAAAAGCAAATTCATCCGATATTCGAACATTAGTAGGTGAAGCATCAACAACAATAAGCCTTTCAACTTGTGGAACTTGTCTAAGTGCCATTGCCATTGCAACTTTGCCTCCCCTATATATATGTGAATATTTGAATTAAAAAAAACATTAATTATGATATTATAATTATTATTCCTTCATATGTTATTAATAATAATTAGGTTAAATATACTTTTAGAAAAGAAGATTAATTAACTTTTTTAAACTATAGTATATATAGCATTCATTCATACATAGAATGTCCCATTATAATAGCTTGGTTTAATTTATGATCGATGATAAATTTTGCTACATCATCCGACATTATTTCATAATTAACAATCGATGAATGTGGACTATCTCCATGGTTTCTTAAATCCTTAAAGATAAAGAACAACAATATTATTATTATTAGATGAATGTATTCATATACAAATCAAAGTATATGCATGTAAGTAATGTTTAATTTACTAAGGCGTAAACACTAGTATTTAAACTCTGAGCAAACATTTTTGCTAAAGATTTCCAATTTTGTTTTGATCCAAATAATCCATGAAGAATCAAAAGTGGTGGAATTAAATTTATTGATTTATTTGATAATGGATCATATTTGCTAAATGATAGTGTAACAGGCTCGGATGAAGATTTTTTTGAAGAATAATATCTTTTTTTAAATGATTTATAATGATGATAGTTAAAAAACCATTTTGTTGTTAACTTTGTTTTTATAATGGTATTTGCGCTTACAGTAAAAATCATTCTTACAAATTTACAAAAATTTTAAAAATTTTTTGTATCCATATGGTCCATTGAGACTAATAAGCTTTGGTATGGTCCATCCATTGCCATTAATAAAATACTAAAGATGGTTAAAATGTTACACCAATAAATCATCAATGGACCAGCACCATGGACAATCCTAGGGTGCTATGGTCAGCCAACAAGGACAAAAGTTTAAGGCTGAGTCTCGAGCAAAAAAAATTTACATTTTTTTGATATCAATATTTTTTGTGCAGCTTGAGAATATCCTCAAGTGCTTTGGGTTTTATCTTCAAGCACATGGGTTTTATCCTCAAGTGACTTGGGTACAAATTTCTATAATGGCATCACATGAGTAATTTATAAAAGGAAAGTCTTGTACGCTTGAAGATGTCAGAAAAATTGCTAATAACTCCAAGTTATTAACCACTTATTAACTGTTGAGAGTTATTAATCCAAAAGATCCATTTTGCCAATCAATCCCAGTGTATAGAATTCAGTATGCGGACACTGAATTTTATGCACTGTCATCACTTAAACTAAATTAATTATTAACTTGTTTACCAAATTAATATTTGATTCAAATAATTTTTGCTACCAATAAGAGATCTGCACGTTTGTGTTTTTAACACTTAATAAGTCACCAATAAAGTTATTAAGTACTTAATAACTCGGTCATTTTTCAAAATAATTTTTATGCCCATTACTAGACATGACTATTTTTTAAATCTGCTCTATGGTGCCAAATAAAGAAATTGATTTTTAAAATCAAACTTTGTTGTTTTGATTTTTTTTGATAATAAATAAAAATGTTACATTATATTACTCATCAACCACCTTGAAAATTAGCTAAATTAAAAGAATTGAAAGTTTAGTAGACAGTAGAAGGCGTAGGGTTTTGTTTCCTTTTTTATTCTCGATCTTTTCTAATTGGCCCTGATTATGGAAAATTCTTCTCCAATTCACCATCACCCACCACCGCCACATCCTCTTTTTCTTCTTCTTCGCCATCCTCACCATCCTCGTCATCCTCGTCATCAACCTCATCATCATCATCTTCATCATCAGTAACCTGTTCTCCTAAACTGATCAATCTAGTTTTATATTTCTTTATAGTAGCGTCTTGATCAGCCAAACATACCAATAAATCATCTTGCTCTTTCGAAAGTTTTTGATGTTTTTCCTTTTCTTTTTCTTTTTCACTTTTCAATAAATCAATTTGTGTTTTCAACAACGAAACCTCCTCATTTGATTTTGTCTATTAAAAATTAATTTTGATTACCATATTGGTAACACGTTATTCTTATTTTTTTTGAAAACCGAGGTATTTACCTGAATTTCCAGTTTTTCTTCAAATTGTTTTATTAAATTTTTTAATTGAGTAATTTCTTGTTCTTGAGCTTTAATTACTTCTTTTAAACTGGAAAACATTGATGCTGAATCCAGATCATTTTGTAAATCTTAAATAATATTAATAATGATATTATTATTATTATTACTGTCCAGTCTTATTTATCAATATATCAATGATAAAATTTATTAAATAATTAGTTAGCTAACCTTTGTTATTTGATGAATATTGAGGTGCATTAGGATCAGATTTTACAGATCTTTGAATCGATTCTTTATTTATATTATTATTATATTTATTGTTATTATTATAAAAAAAATTTGATGATAATAATAATTATAGTAATAATAAAATAATTTACCATAATTATCTTTTAAAAACTCAACAAATGTATAATCAAAATACAAATTAGGTAATCCTTTCGCACCTTCTTCCAAAAAAACCTATAAAATTATGAAAATGAATGGAGAAATTAATGAATTTATAAATATATCGAAAAATCAAAATTCTATAATGATAATGATGGTGATAGTAAGTAGTACCTGCAAGTACTGTGAAGCGTGCTTAAAATGCGGTGATTCTCTTAATCTTGTAATACGGTTAATAAATTGATCAACTCCAATACGGTTATGTAATATTGGCTGTAGTGTCGATCTATAATTTGCGCACACATATAAATATATATTTAATATTAAAATAAATTTTTATATCAATAGGATGTTGCTTTTATATTTGTTTGTTACCTTGAAACTAGAGAATCGGAAATATGATTAAAGTGATAACATATTCCTAACAAAAATGCGCATAAACCTTGTACTCTGGCATCAACACTAGAAGATTGTGTTATAGGTGTTATAAGCTATCATAAAGTATAGATATTATGATATAATTAAGGATTTCTAAATATATTTCTAAAAATATGTATTATATATAGAATACAAATGTCTTAATAGAAAAGATACAGTTTGTAGATGGGCAGAGTCCGATAAGAATTGTTTTACACATTGTGGACTATCCCACAACCAAACACACAATAAACAAAGATATCCGATCAACACTCTTACATCTGCGTTTTGTCTAGTTGCCATCATTAAATTTTTTGCAATGGAATTTAATAGTGTTACATGTTTCTCATTGCTACCACCATCTCCATAGCCGTCATTATTAATAACCCCATTGTTACCATTTCCACTGTTATAATTGTTACCATTAGTGTTATCACTAACATTACCATCAACCAGTCCACTATTAAATACTGTTCCATTACCATTACCAACATCATTATTAACGTCCTGGTTATCTTCAACGATTAACTTACGAGCAATCTCTTTAGCTCGTTCGTTATCTTTAAGAATATGTGATAGGATAACTGATGCAAACCAAACAACATACGGATCTGCCTCAGAATCCTCCCATTCTAAAAGAGCTGAAAGTAGAAGTGAACCAGCAGATTGTGGTTTTACTTTGAATAATAGACAAGGTAAAAAAAAAATCATTATTAAGAATCTTTATTTTTTTATTTTTATTTTTTTATATAAGCATAAAATAAAAAATTAACCTGAAATTATTTCTGAATTAGGATTGTCATCAGGCGGCGGAGTTAAAGTTGATGCCAGTACCAATTGAGCACTAATATTGTTATAAGTATATGCCTAATTAATTAGTTGGATAATAGACCATTTAGATAATTTATTTATCATATTTTTGAAATTAATATACTAACATATTATTTAAATGGTAGAATTATTATTTATTAAAAAATATTACCTCGAAAGCATAAGTAGCAGCAGCACGAGTTTGATAACTTTCAACATATTCAGCACCAACAGCCACAGAAATTAGAGCCAAAACAGCAGGACGAGGTGGAAGATTGGGTAAAGAATCGTTGAATGAGGATCTACTGCCATCGTCGCCATAAGAATAAGATTGATGATCAAATGAATTACTGTTTCCAGTAGCAGTGTTCTGAGTGGTGATGGTTGAAGACGACAATGTTGATAAAGATGATGTCGAAAGGGAAGGTAAAGCTGGTATTTTTGTAATGATAACAGATTTTGATAATAATTCTTGACTTATTTGATTTCCGTGCACAAGATCTGCTAAAGTATAAAGAGACTATTGAATTTTATTATAATTTTTTTTCTTTTAGGTTTATATAATTTTTTAAAAAATGGTATATATTCTCTCTATTTTGTTTGTTTGTTTATTATTTATTTATATATTATTATTATTATTTGTGATTATGATTACTTTTTTTCCGTCATATAATAATAATAATAATAATTAAACTGAAAATCAAATTTTTCTTGAGTAAATTACTTACATGAGTTTTAACTGCAGACGGAGCATTCGATGATAATGCTAATTCAATCACTGGTTTAAATACACCACATTGTATCATAACTTTCTATGTAATATTAATATTAGGTATTATTTAATTTAGTTATTTTATTAAAATAAATTTTGAATAATTAATTATATTCAGTAATTATTACCTGATTAGTTAAAGTATTCATATTATTTGGCACTACCAACATTCTCATTAATTCCAGTAATACAATGGTATTTATAATTTTTTGCTCATTCCAGTCTTGAATCAGATAATCAATTTCAGTTGGTTTTGAACTATTGTGATACTGATTGTCAAAATTCAAAAACGAAGTAATTCGTTGTATACAACTTGTCTCTCTAAAAAAGTTCTAATGATAATGATGATTTAGCTGCGATTCGTGACCAATTTAAGTACGAACATAATTATTGAATAGTATATATACCTGATTTGACACATTGTATCTTAATAAGTTTATGATCAATTGCATACAGTCTTGAACTATTATTCCGCCATTTAATCCATCCTCTTCCACAATAATCTCTATAAGCCTTTCAAATGCATTTTCAAATGCAACAATTTTTTGAATTTCAGCATTATTTTCAGTGAGTGATGTCAACAAAAGTAATCCCTCTTTTAAACCAAAAGACCATTAATTAGCCATTTAATTTAATTTATTTTATTTAAAAAAGATTCTATATATACCATTTCTAATAATCTCTCTTTTATCATCCAATAAATCCATTAAACGTGAAATCCCCATTGGTGCGCCTAATATATAATCTTGTAGATTATCAGATCTAATTGCTAGCAAAGTTCTTAATAATTGAACATTGTTAAACCTAACGTAGAAATCATATTCTTGTAAAATTTCCAAGAATAACATAATATTAGATGAATCCTAAAAAAAGAAAAAATTATATAAGAAAAATAATTGTCAATTAATCAATTAATTATAAAAATAATAACAGAATAATTGTTTTAGATTCATGTTCATTCACTCACCTTGATAATCTCATCAATGAACCTCACACTAATATCTGACATATCCTGCAGAAAAAAAAAGATATGTTGTTTCTAAAAAAAAAGGTCCCAATTATAAAAGTGTAATGAATGATCATAATTATATTTATAATTACTTCTTGATCATCAGGAGTACATAATATTTTAAGTATCTCAAGAATTGCTTTTGATGTATCTATATCAGCTCTATCTTCATTTAAAATTTTCAATAAAGCATAAAGACTTTTTTCGCCAACTTCCTACATAAATATATTTAAATTTGCACATCTTAATATTTAACAGCAATTTATTGGATTATTGTATAAAAGTATAGAAATGATAATTCCTACTTTTCTATATTCTCTTGAAAGACCCTTCAAACCCAAAATAGCAGCCCTTCGATCTTCTAACAAAGTTGAGTTATTTGCTCTATCGACAAGTTTTACAATTGTGTCATCTACTGACTGTGGTTGGCCTTTTTCACCTAATAAGCCCTTATAACCCCTACTCAAAAATTCCATTTCGATTTTTTAATTTTTTATGAAAACCTAGCAATTTGCTATTTGTCGAAACTGTGTGAAACAGGAAAATTTGAATTATTTCTGATCATGTGATTAATGAATTTTACTATATACATCATGTTTTTATTATTTTAATAAATCAATAAGTCACCCTCCCCGATTGATTAAAACGTTTAAATGATCCGTCAACATCTTGATTAAAATATATATCTTGATTTAAAGTTGTCAAATATATTCCCAACTTTTAATTTAATATATTGTAACTTATCGCAGCTTTTGAATATTTCTAAATAATCATTTATCTAACTCGTTATTGTAAAAGATGGATAACTTTTCGAGATTTTGACAATATTGACTAATTGATTGAGCGAAATAATTCTCCTAAATAATCATTATTAACATGTAAGAATTTCAAATTCTTTCCATTGACTTTAATAAGATCAGACAAGTCTGATAGAAATCTACTGTTTCAATATTCGGAAATGAAATAAGTTTGATAGATTTAAGACTTTTATTTTGTGATCAACTAATTTTTACAAATATGCATCCATTTTGTTAAATTTGTTTTTTTACAAGCTGGCCAAGAAATTAAATTGGACTGCTTTCATGACTTGGGTGAAAGAAATAGTTGAAAAAGACTTTAAAAAATTAAATCATATTGGTGATTTTTTGATACCGTAGTAAATAATGTAAGTAAATTAGATTTCCATTGAATAAAGAAGCATATCTAATAAATAACATATTGTGAATTCGATTTTAGTCATTATAACAAATATCACAGAATGATACACCACCATCACCATACACCATAAGTGATGGATGGGTTAGATTACTTCCCCATGTAAAAAAAATTATAAAGCGAAAAATTAGGATTAGTGGTAAAATTAATTATTGAGATTTATTTTATAATTTGGAAATATTTAAATTCGTTGTTGATCTTAATCTATTATTTTTGAGTAATGATACTAACTACAGTCAGTATAATATACATATATTTCAGTTCCATGTTGGTGCCATTTTAAAAGAAAACTTTAAATAAGGTGGGAACAAAAACTGTGTATATACGACTGCAATCATAGAACATCTTGTTGCTGGAGTGCTTGAATCAGCAAGAAATGTATCTGTTGTATGTGAAAATTGATCAAATATGGAAGATGTTTGGGTGCGAATTTCCTTTTGATTGGCTAATTTTAATTTTCACGTATGGTTGTGAATTTCACAACATTTAAAGTGAAAGTGAAACATACATATTACACCAAGCACTTACAACTTGCTATTCCTAGTGACAAAGAATCAGACGCTTATTAAAGTCACAATTAGATCCATGTATCTTGATTCAATTGATAACAATGTGTTTGAGATCTTTTAATTTAATATATATAGCATATTAATATTCATCAATTATTATAATTCTAGATCCTTTTTTCAACAATCAAATCATCAACCAATTCATTTATTAATAAATAAATCAAAAAATACTTTGAATCAATATTCTAATCTATGTGTTTTGGGAACTTTTGATTATAGTTTTTATTATATATTAATATAGGTATATTTCCACTAGGCTTGTAATTTTTTAACTTAATGTTGGATATAAATAAAAGATAACTTGGATCAATCAAATAATTTACTGGAAAAATATCATACTTTCTATGAATTCACTAAAATTGGTTGTTCTTATTTCTTTTTTCTTTGTAAATAAATTTCAATTGATGAAAACTTCTCAGATGGTATTAAGTAGGGTTTCTATTCAAATTATAATTAACTAAAAATAGAAATATCTGGTAAATATTGGCACTTTCAATATTTACTAATAGGCTTTTAGACTATATGATAAAAATATTAAGAATATTATTAGATTCCATGCAATTTTTTTATTGTATATTTAAATATAATTAATTATATGTCTTAAATATGAATTGGCTATTTAATCATTTCCTTGTATGTGAATGTCTCCATCCATCAAATATTCATGATGGTTATGTTTATTATGCAATACATTTGATATCATAATTGACATACACCTACACAAGTAGTATGACCATTCATTGATCTAATATTTTGAGCACTCGAAATATTCCATATTTGAATATCACCATTCAATCCCACAGCAAAATAATCACCATCTTCAGACCAGAAAAGACTAGAAATAGTACTAATACCACTTCTAGTAAAAGCAAGTGTCTTCACTTCCTCAGTTCTTGCATTCCACAAATGAACACTTTTATCTAATCCAATTTCCACCATATTTTTATTACTCCAACCCAATAAATTTAAATAATAGTCATCAAACATTCCTGAGGAATCAAGTGTCAATTCAAGGCTTGTTGATATTATATGTGATGATTTTGATTGACAATTGTAAATTTGATTTAATAGATCAATTTTTTGATATTGATCATTAGTTTGATGATGATGTTGGTGTTGTTAAGGTTGTGGGCGAAACTCCTCCAGAGATCAATCAACAGAGTTTTAACAGGTTACATATTAATTGTTAATTAGAGTTTCGGCAGAGTTTCACATTTGGAGGTTTTGTCAATCGTCAGAGTTTTGACAAGGTATATACTAATTGTTCATTAGAGTTTCAACAGAGTTTCAACAGTCACTAAGAGGTTTTGGCAAGCAACGTTAGGTGTTGTTCAACCTTAAACTCCAATATACACTTCTCAATTGCCAATCCACATGCACATGCCAATTCCTTTTGATATTTTTGTTCAGAACTATTCAACCTTTCCAGTCTTGATATTTTTGTGCAGGAATTGTTGATCATTCATATTATTTGAAATAAATCTATCATAAATCTAAATAAAATATTTCTCCATATCTAATTCAAATATCATCAAAAAACAAATATAAATATATATATACACACTCCTGAGATTTAGCTTTCCTTTTTCTGGGTGACAAATCACCAAACCAATCTTTTGTTCTTTTGATGTTTTAAGCGAGTGACGACGAGTGGCGATAGCCACCACCATTCTTATGATAAACACAACCCTTTGACAGCGCCAAAGGTATCTTCTTTATTTCTTTTACTTTTTTTATCATCTGAGATTGAAGACTTTTTATTTTTTTCTTTTTTAATTTAAAAATAATTATTATTGGCATTTGGTGTTGTACAACTTTTTTTTTTTGACGCGAATTGATTTTTTTTTTAAAAAAAATGACTAACCAGAGGCACTTTTTTTTTAATTTGCATTGATATGTCATCATTGAAATCAAAACGCGGAGAGATCCTGTTGGGTAATTATAAGATTCTCATCAAGATAATTGGTGTTTTGCTTTTCGTAATCAATAATAATATTAATATTAAATAATAATAAATAATTACCAAGACAGCATTGACTATTGAAAAAGAAACATTCGAATATGCAATGTTCGATTATCAGAAATTAGCAGATGTTAAAGCACGCACACTACCTTGAATGTTACAGTCATTCTCACATTATTCCTCATGTACATAAGGCTGAATCTGACTCGCGCCTGATGATACAATGATGCAACTGAATTCCAGGGAGGGAGAAAGATGCCATGGAATGCATCAAGACTGCATCAATTGACAATGACACTTTCACTAGTCTTTACAGCACCCAGACCAGAGAAGACTGCTGGCATGTTAGCCGAAAAGTTGCCTGCAACGGTCCTACCTCTAGGGTAAGGATAGTTCTGTGACCAAGTCGCAACTCCGCAGATGAATTATAGTGTCATGTAAACATCCAGATCCGTCAAAGCAATGAGAATCTGCAACTCGTTTCGACAAGAGGTCCTAATTCGGAGTGGGGTTGGTGACCCTATAATTGCATTTGGGCTCTGATGTTAGGATTTGACCAATTGAATTTGATATTTTTTAAATGGGGGTTCTTGTCCATATAATCCACCCTAGGTATTTTACAAGTACAAGGTGGCGGTTTGATTCTGCCCACTATTATTGTGATAGTCATCATGAATACTGGCATCAAATGAAAGCTGTAAAATAAAATGGTTCAGATTTTGTTTGGTATGTTATGTATAAATTAATCATTTTCATAAATTCTCTGTCTCTTTAATTTTTATTTGATCAATTGAATTTGTTTTTTAAATGGGGTAAGGTTATTGTTGAGACCAACAAGACAGCAACCCAGGACTCAAAACTCTGAATAAATAAATAATAAAATTGCATGACACGTTTCATTTATTATATTAATTGTTGTTTTTTAAATAATAATAACATAAGGTTAGATTATAAAAAAGAACAAGATAAAGAATTCAAAGAAAAATCATTCCATCATTCAATTCTAGAATTATAGTTGGCTGGATTTAATATTGAATGTCAAAGTTTTTTTTAAAAAAATTTATTTTTATACATAAAAAAGAAAAATATCTATTTTAATTTTTATAAAAATAAAATATATAAATATGTACATGTGTATTAATCGACCCACAATGTATTGGCATAATCATTATTATATGTATTGGCGAATTCGGCAGCTTGCAATGCTTGAATATCCAATGTATTAACATTAGCAGCTTGGTTAGCGGCAGTTGTTTCAGACATACCGTTCATAAAAATAACGGGTTTCCAATCATCACCCTTTAGGAATGAACGTTTATTATATAAGAAATTTTTTGCAGCTTCGTTGTCATAAGTGTTTGCGTATTCGGCGGCCTGTAAAGCTTGAACGTCGAGCGAGTTGGTATTGTAGGCTTGATTCGATGATGTTTTTTCATTTGCACCATTCATAAGAATCACGGGTTTCCAATAATCATCCTTTAGGAATGAACGTTTATTATATAAGAAATTTTTTGCAGCTTCGTTGTCATAAGTGTTTGCGTATTCGGCGGCTTGTAAAGCTTGAACATCGAGCGAGTTGGTATTGTAGGCTTGATTCGATGATGTTTTTTCATTTGCATCATCCATAAGAATCACGGGTTTCCAATAATCACCCTTTAGGAATGAGCGTTTATTATATAAGAAAGTTGTAAGGCCTTCGTTGTCAAAAGTGTTTGCGTATTCAGCAGTTTGTAAAGCTTGAACATCGAGCGAGTTGATATCGGAAGCTTGATTTGTTGCAGTATTTTCATTTTCTCCATCCATAAGAATCACAGGTTTCCAGCCACCGCCACCATTTAGGAATGAACGTTTTGCTTCAAATGGACCTGAATCAGGCGAAATAATGCGAGAAAATGCGATTGGTAAAGCAATTGGGTTACAAGAAACTCCAAGCAAGGAAATCGCAAAAATGAAAATTGTAAAAGAGGAGGTTAATTTTTTTGCCATTTTTATTTTTATTTTTTTTTTTAATAAATGTGTAAAATTATTTAAATAATTAAATTAAAATAAATATTATATTATTTTTTTATTTTAGAAAAAAAAAGGTAAAGAATGAATGTTATAGTCATATATATATATGTGTATATATATATATATGACAGAATTCTTAATGCTCTAAGCGTGTGAAGAAAAAAAAATCAAAATCAAAAAAAGATACCACCATGAAAAAAAAAATGCCATTAAATTTTATGCAAACCTTTTTTAACTAATATAATTATTATAAACCAAAAAAAAAAAGATTTAAAACATAAATATGCATATCGTGAATATAATATATTAAAGGCATGGTGTGATCACATTGATTGTTTAATGCAACAAACGCGTCAAGGGTTTTTTTCTGATATGATTTAAATCAGAAATCTCTTTTAATTAAATATAATAAATAAATAATAATAAATATATAATAAATAAATATATATATATATAATAAATCAATATATATATATATATACATATTTTCTAATTTTATTTTCGTTACTTCATTAATTAATCATTATCATTAAATTTTTTATATTATATATAGAATTTATATTTTTTAAACAGTTTTACGACTTAAATCACCAAGTGGTAGGCCTATTGGTGAAAGGTCCGGTGTCAATAATACTGCAGCTGTACAATACCATACTATGCACGATGTGATAACTATATATATTTAAAAAAAAATTTTTAATCAATAATTAAAAAAATTTTACGAAAAAAAAAAAATAAAAAAAAAGAAAATGACGCAAAAAATACATACGTCCAAGAATACCGCCGGCTTTTATAAATGAATTATTAAGTGTGAAATGACCAATTGACAATGCCAAGAAAGTAAATGTTAAAAAGACGAAAGCTGATAAAACTCCTACACTTGTACGAATGCAAGCTAATGTGAAAATAAATGTGACTGAAAAAAAAAAATAATAATAATAAAATCATTATTATTATTCAAATCAGAGTTATTATTAGTTACAGTTTGCATAATATGTAATATATAATACTTACATATGAGCCAGGCGACACAGTATAATCCTAATGCATTATTGTACACCGAATCAGTGTTAGGATCCCATTGTAAGGTTGAATTGCTAGGGTCTAAAATGTTGTTGACTGAATAAAAATGTTTCTCAAAAGCTTTTTCAATTCCCTAGGAAAAAATAAACAAGTAAGTAAATAAATGAATTTATTAGAATCCATATGATTTTCTTTATCATAAATACTTACAAATGATGGGATATAAAGAGCACCAAAGGAAGTCCAGAAACCACCAAAAGCAGAAAATCCTGTACCACCAAAGGTGTTGCCAACTCTGAATTCCCACATGCCAGCAGCAAACTATTTTGCAATTTAAAATTAATTAATTAATTAAAAACTACTATTTATGGTAAGAGACTAAAAAGGTTATTTTGCATACTTGTACTACACCACCGGTGAACATAGAAACACCAACTACAACATTTGGTACAACGACATCACGTGTTTGCATATTATAAAAGGACACGACCATAACCGATAATGCGAAAGCAGAAAGACCAAGTGGAGTTGGATTGCCAAGTTTTGGAGCATGACGTCTTACAACAGTATGACTACGAGGTATAGGTTTTCCTGGTTTACTGGTGACATGATCTGATATGTAATGTTCTTCAGGCATTTTGAATTGCGTGTGTGTGTGTGTGTGTGTGTGTGTGTGTGTTATATATGTTATTGAATGCTTTCTCTCTTAGCCTTTCTTTGTTATTTAAAAATGGAATGAAAGAGATGAATGTTTAAAGAAATGATTAAATTGTTATAATCTGGCCAAGATGAAAAAAAAGAAAGAGAGAAAGCAATCAACTTTTATTTAAGGAAAAAAAAGAAGATTATTATTTATTATTATTGTTTTTTATTATAATAAAGGAATTTTTGTTTTAGAATTCATTTTCGAGTCTTTATATACAAATGAAAATATTGAGAATCATCTGTTTGGATAATTTAAATCGTCATAACTAATTAAATCAATCATTATGAAGCAACATTTTCATTTTTTAATTAATTATATTATAGAACACCTGTGTATCTAGGGGAATGTAGATCTTAAATACTTGAATATATAACCTGAGCGTAGTGATGAATATGTATGAAAGAGTATGATTACTGATCGATCATCCATCCACAAATTTTTATTTTACATTTTTGGGAATTTCCCCTCCTTTTAATTCAAAAGTAAAAATATCTCAATGGATCCAAAACTGTCAAGACAATTGTAAAAGATGAGATAGATAACATATGCCGCAAAACAATTACTCTCATTTAACGAATGGGGCTATAATATCCGTTAGATGAACATTAATTCTATTGATCGATTTGATTGGTTATTTGAACTGGAAATTTACACGAATCATCGAATTTCAATGGTTTTTTAGGTTTATGTTTTATGGTGATGATAAGCCCGAATCGAATGTTTCCGTTAATACTGAATTAAATAATGGTTGGTATAATCTGTCTGTTTTGATGAATTTATTTATTTATTTATTTATTAATATTTGAGAATTATCGCATCAATAAATTTGTTGCTTGCTTAACAATAAGAAAAAGAAACATAAACTGGTAGAAAAAATACTATTGATGATGAAATTTTCTCGTGCTCGTTAATGAATTTTAATTATAAAAGAAGTTGTGTCGTTGCCTTGCACCATTAACAAAAATTTGAGTTGCAAATTGCATACTATAATGTTTATGAGAATTCTTTTGGCAAACTAAACATATTCAAGATGTCGGGCATCTTGTGTACACTTGGTCTTGCCGCAGTGGATTTTTAATTAAATTCGCAATATTACCGATTTTAAAAAATCCGTTATTATTATGGCGAGATTGGCTGGCATAAATGAATTCTTTTTATGTGTCCTGCACACCCATCGTGATAAGGTTAGCTATGTATAAAATTCAATGTGGGGTGTAACATCATACATTAGTAGTTTTCTCCAGATAGTTTCTAAATTTGTAGAAATCTGCATTAGTTACACACTGAAATTTTATACATTAGTGTCAATTCACATGTTCTTCTATTACTAATGGATTTCCTTTTTTAGGTAAAAAAATTAAAACTATTCTGGTCCACGCTTTTCAAATTTCAGATATTTGTTACCTGGATCAACATTCAGCTGAAAAAATCAGACTCGGTTGGAGAACACGAATAATAATGAAATAATTCTAATAATAGATCCTGGTAAATCAAAAAAAAGGAGAACCACAACTATTGAAGAAAAACTATATTTTTGCTCCTCTCATCTTGATGGACAGAAGCCCAAATTGTTGAATTGGTGGGTCAATTAGGTTGGGAATAACAAATTATCAATAAAGTAACGATGGGGAACAGAATAAATATAAAAAAAAATTGTTTTAATATTTTTTTTTATTTTTTTTTTAATACTAAAATATAATAATAATAATGGATCATGGTTTCTACTTCTTTATTATGTGTGTCTAAAGAAACCATCATTTTCTGCGCCATCGGCCAATATCATTTTTATATGGCGCGTGGCACCTATGTTCTAGATTTTCATATGACTGTCCAAATTTTTAAATGATGATTTCCATCTATGAGCCAGAATTTTTACCGATCATTTAATATCTCAAAAATCTTTATTTCAAGTAAAAAAAAAACAATAATAATAATGATGGTCATAAATATTTCGAATATAATAAATAATAACAATAATAAATTTTAAGGCGTCTGCTAGTACTTATTAATCCACAATTCATTGCTTTAATCTGTGTCATTAAAAATATGTCTTGTTCATACTCGGAAAGAGCTTGAAAGGGTTCCACATTTATAACTTTTCTCTAAAAAATCAATTATTTTTTCATATTTATTACACTTATCCCTATATGTATATAATTTTATAAAAAGTACATGCTTATATATTTAACTTCATTAAATATCCAATTAGCTACAAGTGTAAATTTGTTTTTTTAGAATTGTGCATATTATCTTAATGTTATTTACTCCTTTGATGTAAAATGTATATATTCCATATCAGAGTTTATTAGCATTTCATATACTTGGTTAAATTTTTATGTTATAGTTTTTAAGTTCTGGCTAGAACTTTATACGATCTAAAGATATTTTTGGAAATTTTTTAACATGTTTACATAAATCATCAACATCATCAAATTTTCTTTTATCACGCTCACTTGAAACTTCATTTGCAATTATTTCTCCCACACCATCTAAATAAAACCTTCAATTCCCAAAAGTTTGCTGAATTAATATAAATTTTATCACCACCTGTAAAGAATTTTTTAGTGAATAAATTAAGGAAAGAAAATGCAAAGGGTTGTAAACCTTAATTGCGGCAAATTGTGCACAAGATGAGTACACATTCCATAAAATTTTACAAAGTTATCTTTGCTAACAACCAAACATTCTGGTTGCAAACTCTCCAAATTAATTGAACATACACAATTTGGCAAAATTTAGTAATAACCAATCTTTAATATAAATTTAACAAAACTCATAAAATTCATAAAATAAATTCATAAGTATATTAATTCATCACCTGAAAATTGGAGCCAAAAAAGATAGAAAAAATATATATTTAAAAAAAGAATTATAATTATTTATTTTAATAATTAATCCACATTCAAATCAAACAATTCTTGAATATCTAAAAAATAAAATTAATGAATTTGGGCTTGAAGGGAAATTAATTTGTGGCATAACTGATAATGGAAGTAACATGAAAAAAGCATGCACTGCTCATGTACTTCAATTAACTATAAATAAAGCACTTGGAACAATCAAACCATATGTCAAAAGATTTAAAAAATTGATTAAATTTTTCACATCATCTCCAAAACAAACTGAAAGGTTAAACAATGCCCAATTAGAAATTTCTGTCATCAACAAGATTTGGGTCAGAATAATTTAATACATTTTCAAAGTAATGATGATGGAAATGATAATGGTAATAACAATAATGATGATGATGATCAAGAAATTAATTTAAACATATTAAGAAATGTGGCAGCTGTTAAAACAAGATGGAATGCATCTTATAATTCATGGATTAGATTATTGAAGTTGCAAAAGTCAATTGAATGGTTGGCAAATACTTTAGCTTATGAACCTGGAAAAGATTCTAAATCTGATGCTCATAGGCTTAAATATTTATTATTGAAGAATTATAAATGGGGAATTACTAGAAAAAATTTTGTCACTTCTTAAACCTTTTGAAGAGGCAACAACTTTTTTTTCTGGTGCTTGATATCCCACTTTATCATTAATGTATCCAATTATACAAAAATTAAAAGTAAAGTTTGCATGTGGAGAAGAGCAGGATGGTAAAGAATTTGATAGAAGTGTGTATTTTTGATTATAATATGTTATAATAATTTCTAAATAATTTGTTTTTAGGTGATGATGATACCAGTGACAATAATGATGATAATGATGATGATGATGATAATGATGATGACAATAAGGTTTCCAGTCCAAACTGTTTTCTCAAAGCCCAAACTAATTTGGGCAATTTGGGCTTCTCAGTATTTTTTATAACATGAACATTAAAAAACTATACCAATCAACTTATTTTAACTTAAACAACTTTCAAGTAATTTCACCAAATTTCAGCTAATAACAAAAAATAGTTTGGGCTTATAAAAAAGTAATTTTTGCCCAAAGTGTTTCAGCAATAATGAACCATTAATTCATAAACATTTTACCCGATCATGAACTTCAATTCCACCAAGACCAAATCTTAATGATGTTGCATTAAATTTTCAGCAAAAAATTTATAATTCTCTATTTGACTATTGGGATAAAACTTCAGATCTTAGTTTACTGGCAACTATATTGGATCCTCATTTGAAAAGATTGTCTTTATTTGATTACAACACTAAACAAAACACAATAGAAAAATTAAAAGAAATTTATCTACAATATGGGAAAATGAAATTTCAGTAAATGAAAATTCTTCAAATTTGTCAGAAACATAAAGATATTCATCTAATTTTTTTGAATCAATTTTGATATTGAAGAAAATGATGAGATATCTGAAGTGGATAAATATTTGGATCTTCATTTAACTCCTTTGGCACATCAATCAGAAAATCCTTGGGCTTGGTGGGAAACAAGGAAAAATGAGTTTCCAATTCTTTCAAAAATATCCAGAAAATATTTGTCAATACCAGCAACATCTGTACCTGCTGAAAGGCTTTTCAGTGATGCTGGTAATCAAATAAATCCCAAGTGTACATGTTTAGCACCTAAACTTGTTAATGAGCTTTTATTTTTGAAAAGAAATAATCCTTATTGTGAGATTGATTTTGACTAAATAAAATTTAGATTAAATGTCAATTAAATTCCTATCATAACCATCTACGAAATGTATAATAATAAAGTTTAACAGGCGTGTGATTATTTAGTAACGAACGGTTGAATTTACCAATTAAAATTTTTCACGTGACTAAATTAACCGGTTAAAGAATTTTTGCGCGGTACTCCTTCAGTCACTTCCCGTCGCCCTCCCTTCCTTCAAACGTCTTCAACACATCCCCTGCCTTTTTCAACATCATGTTTGCATCTTTTATTTCGTTTTGAATTTCTTCAACAGTTGTCATTTTGTAATTATAATTTTTGTTTGTTATTGATTTCTACGCATAATTTCGACCAATGATAAATTAGTGGGCACATGACTTGGATTTTTATTTATTATTATATTATTTTTTGATCTTGATCCCTGTTACTTTGTCTGATCTTGTTGCCTAAATTTTTAGAGGAATCTTATCGTGTTCTTAAATCACCATTGTCATTATCTGATGGTGGTGGTGGTACATTTGCAATTTGGGGTTATAGTTATAATACATAATTATTATTTCAGATATTCGTAATTATTCAAATACTTGAATATTCATAATCATTTCAATAATTACAAATCCTACACACATGTAAACAATTGATTGCTGTAAACGCGTATCCTTTGTGTAACAGGTCAGTGGAATAATAATTAACCAGGACCTCGGACTGGTATGTAAGAAAACATAAAATACTCAGAATATCTTACTAAAAATGGCTAGTGAGTTTCCTTTTTGGGCCTTTTTTTTTTTAAAAACCCATTTTTTATTATGTAAATGCTTGAAGATCTGACTGGTGTTTTAACAAGATCACTACCCACTTTTCTCAATACCAGTTCAATTATAATTGTCCGAGGTCCTAATTAACCCTAAAAACTATTTTATTATTCAACAACCAATCATTACCAAATTTGGTCACGCGATTCATATCTTTTTTGGTTTTGGTACCATTATATCGATTTATATTGTGTATATGCGTGTTCTTTTCTCTTGTCTGTTCGTTTTTCTCTCGAGTAAAACGAGAACATTCGACCGATATCCTTTTGAATCCCTAATTCTTTTTGATCGTTGAAAAAACGGTCCAACCCTCTTTGATTTACCAACTTAATCATCATCAACGTTTTTCAAGTCTTTTCATTTCTTTCGGTTCCAAGATTTGTTTGATTATTCATCTTCTTTTTCCATTATTTATCGTTTCTTGATGTCCTTCCGGTTTTATTGAAAAGAACCGCATGGTTCGTGGTAGGTTATTTGGTAGGTTTCTATGTTATTTTCATAATCCGAGAACATTTCCTGTTTTAATGATTCAAAATAATCATTTCTTCGTATCGTAAAATGCTATTGGACAATTATAACAAACTTACTCATAATGCAAAGATCCAATGAATAATCATAACAATAATTTGTTGAGAGTTAAAATTAATCGCAACACTAATAATAGCAATAATAAATGAAGACGTCATGATATAAATTTACTTATTGAAGATGCCAAACACTCACTATAACTACTACTAGCAGCAATAAAAATAGTAATAATGAATAATAAAAGGCAAGAAATAATCATAAATACGAATTTTCAAAAGATTGTGTGGCGTAGAGGTTGGCACCGCGCAAAAATTCTTTAACCGGTTAACTAGTTAACGGTGTGCCAACCCCTAGTGTGACGATTATTATTATCCATCCATCACTAGTTATTAATGGTTTTATAATTCTTCAAACGAAATAAAACAGCTTTTCACTTATGAATAAAAGGTTTAGAGAATTAAATTCTCTATATAACAACATATGTTTTAAACCTTTTAATAGCGTATATTTAAGGTCCCAACGTTCCTAAAATCGTATTATAAATATTTTGCTTTAATTCATTACAATTTTTTAAAATTGCATTTGAAATTTTATGACGACAAAGTAAAAATTGTTCTTTACTAGTACTATTGCTAATATAATAATGATGATGATAATAATAATAGTGATAATGATAAATAATAATAATATATTACTTTCATCATTGTTCATATATATATATACATATATACACATCAATTTTAATTAATTAATTAATCTGTTTTGAAACAAACGATTTGTTCGAGGAGGTTTTCAATATCCACTTTTTCATGTAGAAATGGACGAGCTTCGTCGTTGATTTGCGAATCATCCAAATTCAATTCAACTTCTTCAGATTCAATAATAATGTTTTTCATAAATTCAGAATTTTTATCAAGTAGATTTCGTATGAAACGTCTGAATATAGTAAAGACAAATAGAATAAAAGCAATTATGTAAATCAAATTTTTGATGTCGGCTAATGATTTGAACTTTTTGCCTTCGCCATGATACAAGTAAATAAATGATGCGTTGGTGAGTGATGAAAGTAACGCAAGCAATGTCACGTTGTTAATCCATGGTCCAATGCTGTCTGCTCTTGCAGGAACTGGTCTCCTGGTATGGACGCATAATTTGATCGCGTCGGAACGTAATTCAAACCAATTGTTTACAAGTGCAAAAAGTGGTGTTAATGGCCAAATTACCGAAAATAGACTAACATATCCATACTATATATAAAAATGTGTATGTGTGCAAATAAGTATATCATTATATTATATAATATAATATCAATGGTGATTTCATTAATTAACTTACCTGAATGACCATTTCAGCGTAATCTTCATAAATATTATAAGTGGGCAAACCAATTTCCCTTTTTATTCTTTTTAACAAACCAGCTTCATCTTCATTTTCATGAATCTCATGTTCTCCATCGTGACTTATTGTTTTCATTCCAAATCTCATCAAATATGGTAAAATTATCTCCATGAAAAGATTCAGAATTTGTGCCGTCAATATAAAGTATTTCAATTCTGTGTTTAGACGTTCCAATCCTACATCTTTAATGGTGAATGATAATCCCCAGCTTTTAAATATCATTTCTAATGTTTGTCTGATTAATTCATTATAAGGAATATAAATCCATCCGATAAAGAAAATTGAAAGATAACATATAAGGAAGTTCGAGACAAATATCTTTTGTGTAAGATGGAATTCATAATCAGATTCAGTTTCATAGTTTTCAAAATCATTTAGGTTTTTTGCAATCTTTGCATAAATCATATTCAATGCTGGAACTAATAGACAATATGCAACTGTTGGCAGATAAACCTGTAAAAAATAAATAATAGTTAAACAATTGATTAAGAGTTATTATTTAAATTACTAGTAATAAATTGTATATCTTACCAGTTGATCTCTAAAAGGACCAATATAAAACTCAGTCATAATAACCTCGAATAAAATATAGAATACCAAAACTACAACGAACGTTAATGCAAATAAAGCGATTACGGGCAATACACCAATTTTTCTCAAGATTCTTCTCGATTTTGGAAAATGTGGAAGCTCTTCACCAGATCTTGGGTCAACAACTGGTCTGAAATGGGGACTTTTACGTTCTACTTGATGGTAGTTGTATACACCCCAGCTTATCGCAAGTTTTCGTTCTTTTTGACGCCATAACTCTGTAAAAGCAACTGACCAGACAATATTGAATATAGCAAAGAGTATTGTAAAATTGGGAACAATGAAATTTACGAATAGCCCCGCAACAGTTGGTAAGATGAGCCAGATTGTATAGTATTGTAAAAATGCAAAATAATATGCAATCTAAAGTAAAAAACAATCGTCAATATTAATGCTAGCATTGTTTGTTTGTTTGTTTGTTTATTTATTTATAATTACCTTTTCCCCAAAATGATCTTTTAATCGATTTAGATCTTCATCATTAATTAACCATTTTGTCGACCAGGCTTTAATCCAATTCTACAAACAATTATTTCTAATCAATCAATCAATCAATCAATCAACCAATCAATTGGTCAAATAACAAATTACCTTATTGTAATTACGATCGTGAAGAGGAAAGACACTTTCAACAAGTTCGAACCCATCTAATTTTGGGTTGATGCCAGCGCATTCATCATCATAACTGGTAATAATATCGTGTACAAGTCTTAATCTTTCAGCATCACTCAAAGAAACATCGATTCTATCTTTATGATGATCAGTAACAGCAACACCAACTCCAGCAAGAATATCTTTTTTCCTAAATTACGCAAAATAATCAGTTTAAAACAATTTATTATAATAAATTATTAATTGAACAATTTCAAATAGCATATATATATACATATATATATATATGTATGTTACATATACATGTACATATGTTATGTGTGTGTGCGTATATAAATAAATAAATAAATACCTTGAACGCCTATATTCTTGAATTAATCGTTTGTGAGGACAGAGTATAAAGAATAAAATTAATTTCTCCGAAATTAATCTAGTTTCATACTCTAGACCAGCTCTTTCAAGATTATTTTTAAGTAGTTTCAAAGTGCTTTCAAGTTTAATTTTTTGTTGTTGACGTTCTTCAGCTGTTGTTAATGAACGAAAGGCTTTAGTTTGGACAACTAGAATGTAGTCTGCATACACTTCTTTATCTTTCTTGTAGAGTAAATCCAAAAAAAATAGTTTTGCTTTATCGATTGTCTTTTCAACGCTTTCTATTCCGTCATTAATTTCATTAACAAACACATTTGTAGTCATTGTTATTATCGTTTTTTTAAAATTTGAAATTATTAAAAAAAGAAAATAATAAGCAAGCAAGCTAATTACTAATGATAATATTAATGATGATGATAAAAAATTACAAAATGTTGCTCATCGTGCATCTCGTCTCACAAACATTAGTATTAATAAGTGCAAAATCTGAAAATTAATACCCTTTGAATTTTTATAATAAATAATAATAATAAACTATATGCGTGTAATCTTGTAGCCAAAGTATATTTTATCACATTAGTTGTTTTAATGTGTGTATATATCCATCATCATCGTTTATTATTGAAAATCATGTGAAATCATCTTTAAGAAACAAAAAATTTTCTTACTTGAAAAAAGACTTATCATCAATAGAATATACAAGATATTCTTATTAGACGTGTAAATTATCTTGAGAGATGATAATATGAGTATGATAAGTATACTCTGTACCTTTAGAGCGTGATAAATGTTATGAGTAGTCATGTTTAATTTCTAAAAACAAAAAAACCAAAACATGTGATTGATTGATTGATCGATTTTATTTGTTGAAATTTGATTTGTTTATATAAATAGAGTTGTTTTCCATGGAATTGGTTTCCCCAAAAAAATTCCATTTTCTTAATAAATTATAGTTTCAAGCCGACAGACATGTTTATCTAGAGAACCATCAAAGTTAAGTTTGTTTCGTAACAAAGTGATTTGCTCTCATGCATCAGTCGACGGCCTTTCAGAAGGAATTGATTGCTTTCATTATCACATCATCATTTCAATGGTTCATTTTCTTCTATAGGAAGCAATTGGGTATATTTTTGTATTGCTTCAAACTCATCTAATTCAACCATTTCTCTTGTTGATACCGAAAAAAAAAAAATAGCCATTGCAGAGGTTTGTTTAGAATCGGATGATACGGCGACGG